GAAGAAATGCAACAGCATCAAACAAAGAAGATCTGTCTGAAGTGCATCAAGACACTACTTTGCCGGGGCAATCACATCTCATCCCCACCAGGCTAGACGAACTTTTGAAGTGGTGCTTCAAACATTGCGAGCCGCTTCCCAAGTGCCATGGAAAGTCTGCAGCAAGCTGCTTGGCCTTTTCCTTTGCCTGCTTAGACCCACAGCACGAGAGTCCAAAGCGAATTGCGCGGAGATGCTCTTGCATCTACTCCCCAGCACCACAACGAAAAATGCTAAGCCTCCTTAGCCCCGGGCTCAGAATACACGTGGTCATCACCACCACCATCATGGAAAGCATGTTCAATGCCGCCATCATAATCACCACCTTTGCTGCCATGATCTCAATCATCATCTTCCTCTTCATCCAGCAGCATCATCATCACGGTCATCATTCCCGTTTTGTGCTGCGCCTCCCAGCACTGTCGTCGTCCCCAGAAAGTACTACTGGACAACTGTTGCGCAATTGCAGAGATTGGAACAATACTGAATCACCATCGTGTCGCTGCACAGCCTGCATACGCTGCGCTCGAGGGGTTAACTCAACGCTCGCGGTGCTGGACACAAGGGCCTTGGCTCTCATACGAGGGGCAAGAACATCAACGTGGCTTTAAGCAGGGTGAGGGTTTGGGGTTTGGGTGTGGACCTGAGGGTTTTGCGGGCATGTGGAGATTGCAATGAACCATGGGAGCACATTCCTCTCAAGGATAATTTGCGAAGGCTACGTGAAGAAACTCCCCTATTGCGAGTTTGGAGGGGGTTGTTCTGTGGTCCCAAGTTCTGGTGGTTTGGGTCCTGTTCGCAGACATCTCCTTGCCTCGGGGAGTAGTCCCCACGAGAAAGCAATTTCAGACTGTGCCCCTCCATTACCACCAATCAGCATACTTACTACAACTGTCCCCCAAAAAGGACCCATCATTGTTGGACAAAGCACATGTCAGATATGGATAACTTGATTTCGACAGATGTGGCCCAGGCCCGAGGCCTCAACACCAGACTCTGCAAGACGCTGGTTTGGTGTTTCTCAGAATAAGTGTCTCTTAAGATTCCAGGCACACGTGAGGATGTCTCGGCATAAGGAGGGTGTGATATGACCCTCAATGATTGTGAAGGATACATTTGAAAAGTTCCCATCTGATAAAGCCCTACCAAAACCCTCCCATCCTCCTCTGAGTGCTTAACACATTGGGAGTCTTAAATCCAGACGCGCACCCCCTTGCCAACCTGCGGAAATTCAGCCCCATGCCCCCATGGTCTCATTCCACTCTCCACTCCAAGCTGTGTTGAGCCCCCCGGCGGCTGCACTCATCACTGGCTGGCCATCCACCAGAATCTGGCCAAGTCCTGAATAAAATGCCTCTGATGAGGTTTCATACGAGTGTCTAACGGTTGTAGCGGAGATAGACAAGGCTCCTGAAGCTCCCCTACCGTTCAATTATGCACACTGTAGTGGGGAAATGGGGTGCATCTAGACCTTCATGAACCGCTAATTAGGGGTCATGAATGTGGCACGATTCCCAGAAGGACAGTGCACCTTTCGGGATAGAAGTACAGACAAAAGCCTTTGGGTACACGCAGCAGCCCATCCCAGTTTCAAAGAGACATCCCCTACTCCAGCATTTTGGAGCCTTCTAACCCCTTGGTATGAGTTGAGTACCTCTTTGATGCAAGTCCCTACACAGAGGCAACTCCTCAAGTCGTCCCGACACTGGGTCCCCGAACTTTACAATGAAGGTCTCCCTATATAATACCAGAATATTCAAGACTTGTTGGCCCTAACATCAATAGACCACATGAGCTATGGTCTAAACTCCTAGCATCGCCCTTAATAACCCCAATAATGCTCCCTGATATAAACCCCTACATACTGTAACCCCTTAAAGGAGTTTAGACTATTGATCAGACAGAAGCTGCACAGCATACTTAGGACCAACGCAGACCCTCCTCGAAGAGCCAGGCATCCTGTACTAGCAAAACACCAGCCCTGAACCCTAAAACCTCAAAAGGTTCCATTTTTCTTCGCCATTTCTTCATTCCCTCCCCTAAGCCCCGAACCCTAGGGTTTTTGGGCCCAAACCCTAAACCCCCAACCCCAAGCCCCAAGCCCGAAACCCTAAACCCTAAACCCTAAACCCCAAACCCTAAACCCTAAGGCTCCACAGCTGAGCTAAGCTCTGGCATACTTTGCAGCTTCATTTCGGCTGCAGAGGCCCATCCTGACAGTCTGACTTGGAACTGCCGATCCCACGCAGCCTTTGGTTGGGGTTTATGGTTTAGGGTTTGAGGCTTTGGGTTTAGGGGTTTAGGGTTACGGCTACCTGGACCCCCAAAGTACATAGAACTATGGCTTCATTTGGCTGCTTTTGGGAGTTTTCGGCCATGATTTTGACTGCTCTTGGGTTCAGCTAAGGCCAAGTAGCCGTGCAAGTTTCGTGACTTTCCGGGGCAACTCTTGTTTGGAAAGCAAACAAGTGAGCCCCGCAATTTTCCCAGTAGCCTAAGTGGTGCAAACGGACATCGCATCTCGCGTACAGGCGTGGACAAACACTAGATGTCAACTAGCTCAGGTAGCGCTTATCCAACAATATCCCAAACCCTGAGCCGCTCTAAGGGCCATACTATACTATATAGGGTTTTGGGGTAATATTAGGGTTATGTTGGGTTTCTATTGGGATAATGGAAAAAGAAAATGGAAACTACTACATTATATCACTGCGTCATGCCTGCCAGGTCTTGCTCACATTGGGTCCTCATCACAAGGGATCCCCAGGAAATTCTCCCGACTCGGAGAGTCTGAGATCACCGGTTAGTTGTTCTAGGGTCACCAGTAACCCCTCATAATAATAACGGTACCCTTTTTCCTAAATGTTCAGCTTTAATAAGGAGACCCCAGAATATTTAAAAGGGAAAAAGGATACTCCTGGGGTACCTAGTGTTTGGAAGCAGCCTACTTTTGAGGACCCCAATAAAGCCCTACAGATGCAAGCATAAGGATATGCGTGGATTATGGGGGTTGCGGGTTTGGGGTTCAGTTATTCCAGGTTTGCAAGTTTTTTTTTTTTTTTTTTTTTTGTGCCGAGCTTTCACTTGCCTACTCCGGACCTCTTAGCCACAGGACCTGCAAGTACGAATCCGTACTTGCTACATGGTAACAAATGGAAAACATGGAAATCCTACGACAACAAACATTGAAAAAGCCGTTCCCTAGCGGACATCACTCTGAAACTCCTGGACGAATCGAATCCAACAAAAGCCCAGTAAGGACCGGACTCATGTTGCGCTGCACTTTGTGCACTTTGAACAGCAAAATCTGAAACTCCTAAATGTACTAAACTCAGCGAATTCATGGGCTTAACCCCAATCCCCTCCGAATCCGACACCCCAAGATTGAGTTGCTGCCTAGGAACTTTTTTAGTTTACTATAAAAAGGAAACCCGTTTTATGTACAATATGCCCATATTCTGGTAATCCAAGTTATGATTAAGTTCCTTAACAGCAACCCTGACTCAATTTTCTCGGCTCTAATAGACCCTTGAAGACTCCAAGCCTTCATAGACTCCCCCCAAGCCCTGAAACCAGAACCGCGTATTTTCAAACCCTGAAAGGACAGTTCCCAAGTTTGCCCCCCAAGGAATCCTCCATGAAGGGAACCCTATCAAATTCACATATAAGTCTCTAGGCTCCTTCTTGGCACCCCAAAAAACAGGTCCCTGCAACACCCCCACACTGTTGGCGGAACCTTGCCTTGCACACAGCACGCCGAGCCGCTCGCCCTTCAAAGTCCGCGTCTTTCTTTGGGTTTACACGGACTAGGTATAGATTTCTTACCAAACGCTAGTGTCTGTAATACTGCATATTACATGCTTAGAGCTTGGATTTCCCTTACCTAGGGTTTACAAGTTGGGGCTTAGGGAGGGATCTGGGGGCTTCAGCAACAGGGCACTAGAGTTGTTAACTTCGTAAGCAAGTACTCGTTGAATTCCGGCTAGGGCGGCGGGGAGTCGCGATTCATGACATGAGCTATAGGATACCATAGTATATTGGGTTTATATTGGGATAATGGAAAAGAAAATGGAAACTACTATTTAGGGTTTAGGGTTTAGGGTTTAATTGGGGATACATGAGGGTAATATTACCCCTTAATACCTGCGAGAAAAAAAGATGTAGGGTAATGTTTTGGTAGCCATCCAAGCTCCACACGGCCGGCATCATCTTGCGCGAAAAGCTGCCGCAGTAGAGTGGCGGATGAGCTCTTCTGAAAATTGGGTCCCCTTGTGGTACTCACTGTCTGGCCTTTGGAGAATACTCACACGTCATTGAGCGGCTATTGCATGAGCTGGACAGAACAACTGAAACTCTGCTGGAAGCATGGGGGCTGGAGAGCGAGCTGTAACAGAAGTGTGCTTAAGAGCATAACCTGATGCTGCAGGCAGAAAAAATGAGTATTCACATGTCTCACGCAAGTCAATCTGTCAGCTCAAGCTGCAAACCGGACAGCTTCGGCGGAAAGGTTGCAGGACACAAGCACAGCTGTGGCAAGAAGGCTACGGCTAATCTCAACGCAGATTGACCGAAATACTGGAAGCCCCTATTCGTGACCAAAATCCTGGTCTCCTTGCTGCTGGCAGCTATGCTCGGCAGCCTCGGACACCTTTCATGTCACACTTTTCCACGTGCATCCTGCTTTAGGTCCCTTGCCTGGCGCACTGATGGGAAACGTGGAAACGCAAAGGGACAAGCAGCGAGGGATGACAGGCGGGAAATAAGATCTTCAAAAACTTGGGAACGCCGGCCTGAGTGAGCGTGCAGTGCAGCACCCCACAGGGCGCCAACTTAAGCATAGCGTCCGTGCAGATTCAACCTTTCAGGCTAAACACAAATCAAACTGCACAGACTAGGGTTGGCCAAAAACTCGTTCAACACACACCTTGGCCAAGCATAGGACATTACGAAAACAATTTACCTCACTCAGTTCCACGTGCCACCTGCTGAAGCCATGCCGGGAACTCATCCCAAGCCAGTTCATCCTCCCGAAAGGGCTCCTTGGTTGCTTGAAAAGATGGAGATTGTGATTGCTTCGTACGCTATTGCGACCGTTGAAGTCATGATCATGGTGCAGGTGGCGCTGGCATTCCCTACCATTGCTCGCTAGCACAGACGGTAGGCATGGGTTTTCCAACAACTAATCCCTAAACCCCTTAACCCTCCGAATCACTGACCAGGTTTAATTCAGATGTGGAACTTGACAAAGGGATCGCCAGGGGACTTGGGTGTTCACACGCTCAAACTTGATTTTAAATTTATGTCCCTGCAACATCCGAGGCTCTGGGAAGCCCCGGCGCGTGACAAGGATCTCGCGGCCATCTTCCTCCTATAATGTGTTGACACATGTTGACACTAAACATCCTGCATGACCGTGGTATACTACAGTACCATAATTTCCAAGCTTTAGGGTACTTACGTTCATGCAGGATCTATAGTATCCGCCGGCCTAACCCCACTGTTTGAATAGGCCCCTGCTTGGAGTTCAGCAGTTCTGTAATGTTCGAAGCTGGGGGGCTAGGCTGACGCGTCAAGGGTTAGAGATCAGTTGTCTCCAGGTTTCCCAATGCCCCAATCATTACCACATGGGAGGTATCTTCATGTCAGAGCTCGTGTCAGTCGTCATCGCAGTCGCTGTACGAATCAATATGCTCAAGTTCGACATATGGGCTTTCTGAAGAAAACTGGGGCGAGCCCCTCATGCTGCTGGAGTTTCGACTCTGATTCCATTCAGGTGTGAAAGTTTGAGAAAGATGGTCTGTTAACAATCCTTACTTTAACATGCAGGCACCCCAATTTCTGCAGCAGTTGCAAAAGAATTGCAAGGGCCCTCCTTACAGATACATTTCCTTGTATTGAGAAACACCTTTTCTCAAAATCACGTTTGCTTATGGACACTGTAGAAATTCGATCGTGTTGGGGGGGCACTTCTTTTTAACAACTCTCCCAGCTGCTTTCACCGAAGCATCAGGTACAGGCACCTCCACGGCGAAGGACGCCCCGATAGACCCGGGCAGATTCTGACGCGGTGGCTGGCCATCCTGACACGCAGAGCCTAGACAATCATAATAGCGGATAATCAAATGGAAAAGGAACTTGAAACATGAATGCAACCTACCGTATCATTCATGCTGGGTTGAGAATTTAGGGATGAAGGCGAACTAAAACGGGTAGGAGGACAGAAGATGACATGCAAATTCGGGTTACAGGGGTTTATATTCTGGTGTACGGTGGGGGATGGGATGATTGGAATATGGTGTTGGGATACTATAGTTGTATAAGGATGTTTAGGGTACATTATTGGGCGGGGATGATTCAGGTTTGTACCTCGGAACTAGGACCCCAAGTCTTTGCAAAATTCAAGGGTCTCTTTGGACGCAGGACTGCTGCCAGCGTTCAGTATGATCCAGTTCAGCATTTGATGGCTATTCAGCAATATTGGCTGTTCCAAGCATAGGAGACCCCGCGTAAACCTCAAATTAGTATGTTATAAGGCCCTCAACCCTAAACCCTAAACCCGAAGAAAAGGAACCCTGAAACCTTTCATTGGGGATGTGGCCGGTTGCCTTAGGATCCCTGATGGCTTTCATAGAGAAGCCACAGACACTTCCCATCTCGTCCCCCAAAGCAAGAGCTGAAACTAGGAGGTGGGAACTACAACATCACAACTTCAATGTGCATTGAATTGCATGTTGAGTGTATATGAAACTTATGGCTCATGTCCCAAGCAATGTTGAAGAAGACCCAGCTTGCCCGGACTTGAAACAACTCCTCCACTCAACCAGCCAAGCCCTGCGTGCCCCCTTACACAGAAACATCGAACCCCAAGAGTCACGTACATAGACTACTGCCCTCTCCTAGCGAGCTCATGTTCCTTTCAAGGAAAAGCGTGAACTATAGGCCCGAAAACACAAACTTCAAAAAACATATCTTAAGCCCTAAACCCTAGCAAGCCACGCCCAAAACCCTCAAAGCAGTATCTCGTTAAAAAAAAAAAAAAAAAACGAAACGGAGATGTTCCATTTCTTTGTCCGATGTGTTCTATGGATTATCAATCCGTTTTTAGGATAGCATCCCTTTTGCATCCCTATATGCCCTATACATAATGCTTGTACAACCCAGCAGAAAAACCAACATATTCCCAGCCAAGCTACTACAGGAGCCTTGTCCTGGAGCCTCAACTTTGCTGTCAGGGTTTAGCATTCAGGTTTTCCCACTAGCAATTTAGGTTGAAGCCTTAAGGTTTATGGTTTGAAGTATATGGTTTAGGATTTTGGCTTCAGATTGTTGGGCCTAGACTTGGGGTTGGAGGTTTGTTTAATGGTAATATTGGGATAATGGAAAAGAAAATGGAAACTGTAGGAATTACATAGGGGTTATATAGGGGTTATAATAGGGGTTATATAGTGATGACAGTGATCGAAAAGGATTGTGGCCAGCATCTGTGGGTTGCAATAGACCACAGCCCTTTGGCAACATCTCGTTGCGCACTGTCTGCTGCAACAAAGTAGCCGTACATAAGACCCTAAGCCCTAAACCCGCAGGCAGAAGGGCTGTTGCAAGCCATAAGCAAAATCAAGAGCCCGCATACCAGTGGAAACCAATCCCGAGTCGTCCCAGGACGGGCTATTGTAACACATCCGGTCCTTCCCTATTAGGACCATTGTAAGGATGGATTAATGAGCTTACAACGGTCTAATGTCTCATCCTGGTCTGGCCCTAAAGCTGCTGTGTCAGCACAGGAGCCAGCGGAGCAAGGATTCGTTGACTGCAGCTGGCGTCTCGTAATGTGGGCAATGCCCACTAGGCGAAAGCTGCACGTAGTCCTAAACTGTTCAAGAACCATATCGTAGGCTGTCAACAGCATGGTCCCTTTTTGGGATACCCTAGATGTTAGGGGCAATAGACTCATAGAGAACACCACTTAACAGCCTACAGCATGGCTTCAAGAGCACACTACAAAACAACAAGGATGTGATTCCGTCTGCCTGTAGACTCACGGCCTCATGCGATACCGTCATGGACAGCCGTCATGGTTCCCATAGACATTCGAGATTCAACCCTGGTGAAAGCAATCATCGCAGTTGTTGCAGAAGACATACCATGATATTGGGAATCTCAAACAAGGGAAGTACCCAAATTGGACCTAACTTGCAGACTTATGATAGCCCAGAGTAAGCAATATTTGTCTAGGGGTTAGCTTCTGTCTGAACACAGTCAAGTGTCTGCGTCTGGAGCAGTGGTGTAAGCGCGGGCCGCCCAGTAAGGGATGATCCACGGGTCCTCTACTCGTTTTGAGTCTAGGAGACTTGACGAATTGGCGATGACATGAGCCACTGTCTAAACTCCTAGTATGCCCCCTGGAAAACCCCTATAGTACTGACCTATATTCCAATCCCCTATATAGCCCCGTTAAAGAATTTAGACTACAGCTCACAGGTACTGCTCTCCAGCGCTCCCCCTGCTCTAACTCCCGCTTCAAAATTTGCTCCTGCTCCTCCTGGTCATCCTTCTACCCCAGCTTTTTACCCTAACCCTAATGTACTATAGTGGTTTCCATTCTCTTTTCCTCCTATGTAACCCTCATATAACCATGATATAACCTCATTACCTAAACATCTCCCACCGCTCCAAGAGTCCTCCCGGCCGTACAGAAGAAAGACCGGAATCTTGCGTTGGACCACAGCCTCCAGCGCCTCGTCGAAGGTCAGCTCAGCTTGCCTCTGCCGAGGGGCTCCGGCAATGTCTGACAACATGGATGCCCTGAGGGACCCTGGCGATACGAAGGGATAAGGAGGAGATAGCGTACCCTGACCCGTACAGCTTATGTACTTTGCTGGGGCTTAAAACCTTAGAGGGGCAGAGCATGCTTGGCTTGCAGAAGGATGGGAGATGTGCTTTGTGGATGGAACATCGCATGAGCTATAGTCTAGACTCCTGGTATTTTCTTAATAACCCCTATAATCAGCCCCTTTTTAAACGCCTTAAAAGCTTCGACTATAGCTCACATGACCCCACGCGTTCCTTGCTATGAACCTTGGAGGCCATCGGGAATCTCAATCATAAGGTTTGGGGCTTCGGGGTTCCTAGTGCTTCAGGATCTCAGGTCTTGGGGCTCACCAACAGCAAAAACCCAAACCGGAGACACACATCAAAAAACCCTTCTTCACTTTAAGGGTTCAAGGACCCAAATAATAGGGTTTTAGGGCCCAAATACTATAATATTAATGGTAGTTGGGCCCTAAACCCCTATTATTTGGGTCCTTGGATCCTTAGGGTCATAGTAAGCCGAGGCAACCTTCTTAAACAAGCAGAACCACGTTTTGAGGATTACTTAAACCTAGTCTGATAAGTTAGATCCATGCTGTTCTCACCCCCCAAAAGAGCACCCACAGTAGCAACCATGGTCTGAGAAGAGCGCCAGCATGATCCCAAGCATATTCTGCAAGGCCCCTACAAGAAGGGGCTGTGGCTTTGACACCTGGATACACAAGGTTTCTCAACACCGATATACCACCTACACACTAATCCAGCCTCCAACCTGATTTCTCGAGGACTCCCCAGCACATGTATACCCAAAACTCCGACACCCTTTACAACTCCTGCACAAACCCAGCTGCGGCGTAAAAAGGATCTGTGCAAATGCTGCCGCCCCTGCCGGGTGATCCGCCATTGTAGCGATTCGCTCAGCCAGCTCATGGCCCACTCCGGCAGGGTTGGAAGTCACGAAGTTCAGGAGCCATTCCTAGGTTTGGGTTTGGGGCTTAGGGTTTAGGTCTAGGGTTTAGGTTTAGGGTTCAAGGTTTAGGTTGGTGCGACATTCTGGGTAGGCTTAATATAAAATCAAATGGAAAGTCGAATGGAACATGCAATGGAAACTGAGTGATATAGGGGTTATATACGGATAGGTTGGTGCGAGTTCTGGGTGAGCTTTCGGGTTTGGCTGTTTTGGGCTTCTTTAAGTCTTGCACGTCTAGAAGTGACAAGCTTGAGGTATGAGGGTAGCTTGAAGTTTAGATGTGTCTTCCATTGAAGTTGTCTGCCAAGGCTTCTGCAAGATATAACTATCTTGTTAACAAAATTCTCATGCAGCCTTCATTCGGCGCTCCATGTGACAGGCTAGCTGTCATGGGTTTACATAATACACATGGACAACGTGTATGACACACTCCCCATGCATCCTAGAACTGTGGCCCCAGAGCGTAGAAATTGTTTCCAGATCCAGCCAAGGTTCAATGGAGTCTGGATTTCTCAGGGTGTTATACCAGGTGAGCGTCAAAGGCCGTACAGAGGAAGGAACAGGCAGCTGGCCCTTCCAGGGAAAAGCATCGTGGAGGCTGGGATTCTTTGCGCGACTCGGTATCCAGCCCCAGAATGGCGTGGGATTCAAGAGTGCCACACCTCCGCGGTTGACTGAATTATGCGTAACCTAATGGCCTACTCCCAGAAAATATGATAGTTTCCTTAAATAGCGATAGGTCCCCCAAACACTAGAACCCTCATTAATTATGGGCATCCCCAAAAAGGTACTTCTAATTTTAGGAAAACCCCATATCCATGATACAACCCAAACCACCACCATGACTCCCTGGGCACCCTTGATTCGGCCAACCATGCTGTTGTCCATGGTTGCCGTGGCAAGCACTGTCCTGGGTAACGAACACATTTTCAGCCACACATATATACATTCTTTCGGTACATTCCGGTCAAAAAAAAAGCATTGTGCGTTTGAGGTCACCGATTTTGAGCTGCAAGGATATAATGAATTCCGCATGTTTCCCGAAACAAGAATATCGCGTAGCACAAGCAGACCAGCGTCAGGTATCCTCCGAGCGAGTTGCCTCCTATGATGACGTTCCTCTCCTCCACACATTCAGCAATGAAGTCTCTCACCTGGTGTTGGTGTGTCCCAGGCACGGCTTAAGGTTTAGGGTGTGTAAGGCGAATTAACGACTGAGTATTGGAGACCCCTTTCTGGGGCATATCCGGACATGCAAAAACCTTTTTCTGAATGGCTCGCAGAAAGGACCCGGCCATGTTGTGGGGCCTTGGGCTCCGAACCCTAAACTCTAAACATCATTAAGCCTACCCTAAATCCTCATGACCAAGCCTACGCTAAACTTAAAACCCTACTGACCCCACTCACCAAACCTAGGAGCTTGTTTTAGTCTCATTCACATCCATGAGGGGTTCCCGCCTGATCCACCCAGAGAGCCTCCCCGATCACCAGATCTTCAAAGGGAGGCCTCGGTAAAAAACATCATTTGCCACATTTTCGGTTTTCAACTTTTAGGGCATAGATGTTCCTTACTCTTGCCTGGGGGGGGGCTCTTAAAAGGAATGCATGCTTTTCTTGGCGTGACGCTGGCTGTTACTTTAGGAGCCCCTTGCAATCCCCTACACAGGGTTTGGGAGTTTAGGGTCTAGGGCTCCTAGATCCGATATTGCCCGCAAGGCAGTCTATGTCACATCACACCCCAGTTTACGTCTATAAAACGGCTTATAACGCTCAAGCCACATATGTGTATATATATATATACACATACATGTGTACATATATATATATATGTATACACATGCACATACATACATATGTAGAGATGCACATGCATACACATGTGTTAATGAATGTGTATGTGTACATATGTACGTACGTGTCTACGTGTATGTGTATAAATATTTAAACGCATTTCTGTATGTATGCGTGTATGAGTGTGTATGAGTGTGTATGCATATATATATATATGTACATCTACTTATACATTTGTATATATATATACATATGTACTCATCTATGCATATACATATGTGTTTATGCATATCTGTGTATATACACACATACCGGAAACTGTGTATGGATTCTCTAGAACTCCACATATATATATATATGTACGTGCGTATATAATTATGTGCATGTATATGTATGTGTACATGTACATGTATTTATGTATGTATGTATGTATGTATGTATGAATGTATATATGTATATGCATATGTTATGTGCACTTTCAGCTTTATGTGACATTGACAGTAACACGCGGCGGACAGCTCGGAATAGTTTTGAATAGACATGCGCCGCTGCAGCTGTAGATTTAAGGGTTGGGGGTTTCGGGTTGAGGGTGGTCCAAATGGCTCCGAGTAAATTATGTACTACAATGGGAATGTGACTATGTATTACTTGGAGGGGGCTAGGGATCTTTAGCCTCAGGGCAAGGGGATTACCTTTAAACCCTGAATCCCAGGTAGGCCCTACGCCTCGGCTGGCCGAAGCCCCATTCGGTGCCAGGACTCGTCAACTCCTTAGTGGGCGGTCACAGAAACTCCCTAGGCATCCCAATACCGCTTAACTGAGGAATTGAAAGCATATTAGGGGTCGTAAACCCTAAACCCTAAACTCTATGATGTAAGCTATATTCCTTAATCAGGTGAATTGGTCTTTCTGTTCACGTCAGCTATCATAGCATGTAATCAGGTGGGGTCCGGGAAAAAGGTCAATAACCGCTACATACGGATTTAGAGGGATGCATGGGGATATAAAGGGTTTAGGGTCCCCAAAACTTGGGGGTCGTCCCAAACCCTAAACTCTACACATCCTGAACCCCCAAGCCCCAAGCCCTAAACCCTAAACATCCTAAACCCCGAAGCCCTAAAACTTGTCCTTCTCATAGGACTGTTCTTTCAGGCATTAGCACCTCGAAGCTCTGGCATTGTCAAAGTCATGAGTCCGCCTACTAACCCCTTTTACTATCCCCCCCAAGGTTGCCCGTTAAAGTAAGCTATGCAAGGATAAGACCTAATCAATGTTAGTTGAGGGAGAACTGGGGGGGGGGTAGTGTAGGGGGGAATATAGTAGGATGGCCCATGAAAAGTATAGTCCATTCGGCGGCATCCTAAACATTGAGGGGCCATCTTCTGCTGGGGCTCCACAAGAGATGATAGTCATGATAACATGCCATTTAGGCTAAACCCTAAACCCCTAAACCCTTAACCTGTGAAAGTGTGGCATGGCTTCCTTCTCAAAACCCAGACTCTGCCGGAGTCCCGGGTGCAGGATCGCAGTCCGGCCAAGAGAGGCCAGCCCCAACCTAGATCATAGGGTTTACCTGAACCTAATGGCCTTTTGGGTTATTGTTAATGATTTTGGGCTATTATTTTAACTACTTTCGGTTTCAGGTAGTGTTTTGGGTTTGATTGGGGCTTTGGAATGTATTATAACAGAGATTATATAGGGATAATGGAAAAGAAAATGGAAACTACTATTTAGGGTTTAGGCACTTGTGTTTTATTATCGGAATGTCCAAAACCTGGTGACCCTGTCTCGGTCGCCCTAAAGAGGGCTGTATTATTTGGGGGTAGATGAGAGGAACCTCCGCTTTGAAGATGCCCTACGAAGTTATCACCTTCTCCTCGCATTTCCGATATAGCGCCCGGCATCGTATTGGGAATATCTATTGTTCGTGAGTGGGGGGGAGAGGATTATGAGGGAGAGGTGATTTTGTGGCAAAAATCACTCCACTGGTTGAATTCTCTGTGTAGGTTGTAGGTATTCATACATTCAAGATAACTTTTCTCTCCATGATCACCCAGCAGCATTGTCAGCTGCATAGACTGTATAGCCTGCCTCACTGAGGGGGCCAAACTGCGCCTCATAGTGGAAAGAGGCCACCCCAAAGCCGTGCAGCAAGACTACGGCGGTGTCTGATCCAGGTATCTTTGACGCGGCTTTGGCATAGTGGACTGTGATGTTGTCTCTCCACTGCCACTTGTTGCTGGTTGCTGTCTTCGGCCGCATTAACTCTTCTCTCCGTGCGGTGCGCTCAGCCGTCACACGCCTCTTTATTCGCGAGCTGCGCAAACGTCTGCATGCGCAGCATGAGGCTGCCATTGAGCAGAGCAATGCACTCGCAGGTGCTGTGCTAGGTTTGGAAGCATGCTCCTGGCCCCTCAGCCGCGCAACACTAGGAGCAGGTCTCAGTCTCAAGAGCCCCAAGCCTTTCGCAGTCACGGCGTCGGCTACAGAGTTCCCAGATGTGCTGCCCACTTTTGCCATGGCTGTCTGCTCGCACGCGGTAGGAAGCATGATAAAAAGTTTGTCAGGCAGAGCTAATAGCGAACAGTAAGACCCTTGTAGCCTCTGCAACAACAACGGATATTCGGAATCAAAGACATGTAGAAGCCTCAGCAGTTACCTAACGATCATCCTCCATTTAGGACACAATTTAGATGTGATACCACCCACTTATCGTCCTATGAGGGGACTTCGTAAGGACCCCAGTGTAATCACTATAACCATCCCTTGTGGCCTCTGCTAGTGGGATGAGTGGAAGTCCTCAGTTGGGGTTCCAAGTCTGTTCGGTTCTACGAACCAATAGTTCGTAACTATACAACTGATATTAAGATTCATATAACCTATATGACTAATATTTTGATCTTCACATTCATAGAATGAATATTCACCATGGGAGAATAAGGATTCGCAAAGAACATGTTCAGAGGCACATTATTGATCTAAGAGTCCAGGTGTCTATGTGAGAATTTGCTTACATACGCTTTTTCCAACCTGGGGAAAACTTTCACAGGGGCCAGATGTTTCATTGGAACCAAAACCTGAGACAGCAAAAGCAGTTGCACTAAACAGGGAACATTATTCTGTAAAACTAGTTGATGTTGCTCAGCGTGGCAGGGTCATCCGTTTGGTTTTGGGCCCGTTGGCCTCATAATATCGCCATGAATGGAGGTCCCAGGATTTCAGGCTGAGGGCTATCCAGGCTTCTCGTTGACAGGGTACGGGGCTTCAGAGACCGCAAAGGCAGCAACAATCATTAACCACAGCATGACGATTATGGCAAACAACAGATGTTGCTGATAGCATGCACTTATAACAAGACAAATGAGTTTCGCTGTTTGTCATTGCTGCCAGAACCACCATGTGGTCCCTTCTGTCCTCTACCCACTTTCTGGGATGGCGCTCAGTGCACTGAGATGGGAACACTTCGACTAGCCGGAGAATAGCTAGAAACTCTGATTTCAATTTATGGTTTCCCTCACGAACACCAGTGTTCCTAAGATACACTCACCAACAGCAGCGATCCGACTTCAAGGCAGGACCTGCTGTATGTTTGCTCAAGCTGGGATGAAGGATTGCTGCAATGAGGAGACCCGTACATGCCCTTTACTAGTGGTGGAAGAATAGCTGGTGACCAGCCACCAGCTTTGCAAAGACTTGTGGTGAATCATGAACCCTAAGCACTAAACCCTAAGTCTAAGTGCTCAAACCGCTTCACTAAGGTTTTCAGGATCATTTCTGGATGCTGGGGAGCTTGAGGATGGTTTAGTGGGTCTTGAGTGGACCCGAAACCTTAGCACACATGGCTGTGTCCTCGTTCTGGGAAAAAATCCACCAGAAAACAGGATTCTCCGAACTGTAAGTTGAGGTCTTGCTACGGTTTTGTGGTTTACGGGAAGCGTCACTCTGCTTCAAAATCCACACGACAGCCGCTCGTGAAACCAAACTCAGAATGAAGAAGCTATAATGACAGACTTCAAGGAGTTCAGAACAGCCCAAGAACTCCTGCATCCCCCTTTCGAAGTCTCCAGACGTATCAGCTACCCAGCGTGCCTTGAAAAATTACCACCCCCTCCAAACCGCACATCGTTTTCCGCCCCTGCGAAGTGCTTCGCCCTCGACTGGGGTACAACCGCAAAGGCCCGAATAATTTGAACTGCGGTAACGCACTCGAAACAAGAACTGGAGAGACATAGCCTCACAAAGATTCGGAATGTTTAAACCTTCTACATTAAACCCCGATATATACCCAAGATTATCTTATATAACCGTTATAACCCCTATGATCCCTGTAGTTTCCATTTTCTTTTCCACTATCCCCTATATTACCCCTAAACACTAAAATCTAAGGCAGGGTACTCCGTGGTAATTCTGTCTATAGTATCCATAGAAGAACCGCTGATCAACGGCCCAAACCCTAAACCCTCCATTATACTGATTCTACTGCAAGAATGTGGACAACCGCTGCTGTCTTCTTACATACTACTTCCAGTAACGCGCCCCGTGAATTGCTTACGGATTTTCTGCATCAAATTTTTATGAAAAGTTGTGGTACTTCCGCCGCCTTTTGACATGTTGACGTGCAGGAATCCTAGGGAAATTGCACCTGCTTCTGTTCAAAGACCGCTTGATAACAGCTTGAACAACTGCCTTATACTACCCAAGTTCAGTTCTCATTTTTTCGGGCCCTCGTACTTCAGACCGCTTCAGGCATTTGCCTGCCGAACACAGGGATGAAGGAGTCTGACTCTACAGGGGTTCAGGGTACGGCATCAGTGCTCATTTACATATTTACTATTATAGTACTTTCCATTTTCTTTTCCATTATTCCAACATCAAATACTATGTTGGTTTCCATTTTCTTGTCCATTATTCCCTATATAACCCCTATTTAGCATGTAGCCGTTTACGTGTTTCGTATGGGTTCTTTGTTCAGGAGGCCTCGAATATGATAACTATGATTACAATTGCCCTTCTTACTATGATTACCATGATTACAAGTAGCACTATTATTATTGTTACTTTTATGACTATTACTATTACTATTACTATTGCTATTGCTATTGCTGTTACTATTACGATAACATTGCTATTGCTATTACTATTAGTATTACTACTACTACTGTTACTGGTACTACAAGTATTACTAGTACTGCTAGTATTTCTGCTACTACTTTCATGACATTACTATTTCTCGCAGGCTTCAGGGAGAGCTGAAGCAAGGCTTGCTGGTCTAGTTGATGTTGCGGGAGGGCTCAACTTCTGCTGATGAAAAGCTGCGACAAGCGACCACACCATTGCCTGCTAGTTGTCGGGCTTCTGAAGCCAGGCCTTCGCGTCGTGCGGCAAATGCTTATATGTTTTTGGTTTGTGTGGGTTATAAGTTAGAAGTTGGAAGTGGAGTTAGTAATTGATTTTGAAGACCACTTCCACAAGCCTCGAATGCCTAGGCCAGACATTTTGGGCGAGCTTTCCTCCTTATCCCACCGCATAGAAACCCCACACAAAAATGGCTTGACTGCAATGGCAGACTTGAGACAACAAAGCTTAAAACCCTACGCTCTTAAGCGTAAACTCTACAACCCTGAACCATAGTGTCCATTTTCTTTTCCAGTATCCCCAATATAACCCTAATGCATCTGTCAGCCCATAACCCTGCCTCACTGCCGCAGTTCTTGATAATCACCTGCGAAGGCAGGAAGATGGGGATTTCAAAAAAAGGAAGGTCGCTTTTTAGGGGGTTCCTATATTAAGCCACTATAGATCTTGTTCTTCATGCGGGCCAACCATTTTGTTAGAAACTCCCATATATTCCCTTTTCGTGAAGCGGCAAAATGACAACAGAAGGGTTTCAGATCTGATTGTGTTGGCGCCGCATCACGACGGAAAAAGCGGCGCACCGGCCATATTCGCACAAGAAAGAGCACGTGGAAGTTCTCGCGAACCAGGTGGCCCAAAAGGTGTATGATGACATGGGTCTTCCTGAGCAAAAAAGCATCTTCTCAAAGAGTTCTATTCTCTGGAAACACCCGCCCATATAACGCAGGCCTGATATGGCCTCTACCAACCCCGTGAAACCCCAGCCTTACTTTGTTGGGCGCTCTCATATGTCTAATGGTAGAGGCCTAAATATCTACTGACATCATCTTGAGGTCTCTGAGGTACTATTGAACTTTCACAAGTATAGAACCATCGTAATCAAGGGTGAAGTGCCCAGCTATCATAATTATCCAAAAACACAACAATGCGGTTAGGGCTAACTTAGCTGCCGCATTAGATCCCTTGCGGCCCAGCCACGCGCAGTGATGGAGCTCCACTCTCACTGCCGACCTGCTCAATGGCCTCGCCGTCTTGAGTGGACAACACACAAACCCTGTTTAGGGTCTAGGGCTTTAGGGTGTAGGGTTTAGGCTTTAGTGTTTTAGAGTTTAGGGTTCAGGGTAGGTTGGAGTTGGGGAAGGTATCAAAACGGTGTTTTTTTCAATGTCGGATCCCAATGTAGACCCCAACATGCTGCAATTCCTTATATCTAAAAGGACCCCGATTGCTTTTGGAAACTTCCAGAATTTGATAGGATCTTCTCCAAGACTTGCTATATAACTCAGGCTTCAGTTCTAACAGCAATTGGCCTTGCACCCCCGCAACAAGGCATTCTGACTGGCTCCAGCATCCGTTTAGAAGAAAAACGCTCAAGCAGACGCCTTTACCAGGACCGAACAGAATCTCCCCAGCGCCGGCTTCCCCTTAACTATTGATTACAACAACTCCTTTACATGCTAAAAGGATTCCAAATACTTCTTCCCTGATGCCACCCTTGTGCCTCTGAACCCCCAAAGGGCTGTCCTTCTAGGGCTCCTCACTCCTCGTACTCTACACATGCTCCTTACAGTTGCCAACAACCAAGAACAAAAAACATTGACCTTCTTCACCCTGGCCCTGAACATATGAATCCGCCCCCCAGAAAAATGATTCCGAGACGTCCCCTTCTTAGCCTGGGCTACTGCTAAGGAACTTGATTTAAGTTACTATCTTACGGAAACCATATTAATTCTTATATATATGTATGCATATGAATATATATATATATGTATATATCCATTCTAGCTTAATTTAAGTTCCTTAACAGCAAGCCGGCAACTCCCCTCCCGTCGGCCTTTACTACAGAGTAGCCCCTGATGACCTGGCCAAAGACCACGTGGGCACCATCCAGGTGGCTCGTCATGACAGTGCCTAGGCTGGGGCGTAGGCTTACTGAAGCAAGTTCTGGACTGAACTGGCAGCCTAAACCAGCCAAACTAAATCCTAAACCCTAAACCCACTTTGGGATCCCAGATGCAGAGGAAGAACTGGCTCCCATTGGTGTTCTTGCCTCCCAACAGCTAGCTGTCATGTACATGGCTTGGGGCTTACTTGGAGGGTCATGGGGACTTTGTAAGTAGGTTAATAATGGGGATATTTGGAGTAATTATATGGCTTATAGGGATTATTAGCATACTTACCAAGTCCCTTTGACCCTCCAAGTACAGTACGAGCCCAACATTTGGAACATGAATACCTTTCCTTCTTTCCAGGCCTTGGGGTAGGGATGCTTAAGTTCCAGTTTTCTGACTTTGACCATGTTATGACGTAACTTCTAACAAAGCTGGAACAAGTCGGAAACTAAGAGCTTGCCGCCTTGGGCAATTTCGCATCGTCGATAGATTTGGGTGTCATGCAGCGGACACTTGGAATCTGCCCTTGCGAAGCATAATACCAGAATTACCATTGGGCTTAGGGTTTAAGGTTGTTCGGGAATCACATTGGTAATTGAGGAAAACTCCTACAATCGCCCGAATGCCCGACAGTTGAAACATGGTATCTTCTGCCGCGCAAGAGGTCAAGCCGGGCTATATACCTGGTTTACGGCTTAGGGTCTAGGGTATAGCGTTTCTTTTGGTGGTTGAACCATGTAAGAATATGCTCCTCTTATAAATAACCATAGCCAAAAGGAGGACGTAATCTTACACTATGTGGGGGACTACTGGACCCTCAAATAAGATACTAGTCATATGGGATGCAAGATCTTCTGATTGGGGTGTGGCGTTCAGGGTTCACAGTATAAGGGGTTAAGTTTAGGGCATAGGGCTTCGAGATTATCTTGGAACATGGGGGTTCTTAAGGAGGTGTACCTGGTGGACAATTCTTTGCAACATCGCACAAGGACAGCAGTGGTCCTCTTAATAGGAGTATACTCCCCCGCAAATAGATAGAATATGGCATTGCCCAATATCATAATAAGATCCCCATCTACCCCATAATCCATCCACTTCAGGGGAACTATAACCATAATTTGGAGACACTAACCCTAAAAAACAACCTAAACCCCTATGGAAGAGGAGGATTCCACTGGCTCCCGGCTGCTGGAGCCTAGGAAGGCATGAACATAATGAACACTGCCACAACTTGCCCAAAACAATATATGAGGTCTCCAGAAGCCAGAAGTGGCCATACCACGCAAGAAATCCGGCTAAGAAAACTTACTGGTTGTTAGTAGGGAACAAAGGAATATACTCCCTATATTAACCCCGCTATATAATAGTATATTCCCAGATTCCCACTAACCCCCACTAAGAAAAGGTATTCTTGAATCCGTTCCGGACCTGCGACGGTCCCGATGCTTACTTCTGACCCAACCGGCACGACTCTCCCCTATGCCCTACGCCATGGACCCCAAACTGCTGTTAGCAGTCTTGTACTAAGTACAAGCAGTGTACCCTATATACACCCAAAAATCCTGTCCAAGGAGCCCGAGAAGGACCTTTTCTTCTTAAACCCATTCCTACTTGTGTTCACGGTACTCAGCCGGCCTGCATTCGCCATGGACAGAATGCCTGGCCCTGTGTGCTTCAACGCGAAGTTTTCATCCTCAGCAAGTTGAAGCGTACTTGAAACCCTCACAGGACTGGGCTTGCAGCTACTGTGGTGCTTACCATGCAAATCACCTCAGCCCGGTTTCAATGCTGGCTTATGAAAGCAGAAAACGAAGCGAGGCGGGCCAGAGTCCTCGAACTTCTCACCATAGATGGATTTCCCGCCAGTTCCATTCCCTGGCATGTGAGGCTTGGAGTGACAACTGCTTATCTTCCCACCACCATCAACAAGGAATGCGAACTATGACTATGGCAATAATATGGAATGATACAACCTTGCGAAGCATTTGATATGTTGAAGTGCTGGCTTGGTGCGCCTGCGGTGAAGTCGCCACCCTGAACTCAGTGCAGCAACGCGCAAAGGCAAGCAAACAACGTCAGCAAGCGTACTTCTGGTCGGTCAACTACCAGCACGCAAACAAAGGCATCATCGTCGTCGACAAGTTTGAGAGTTTCCTGCAAGCTCTATGACCCTAAACCCTAAACGCCTGTGCATGCTGGTATGAACAAGAATGAACCTGACATAGTTTGAGGTTCCTTCGCAGGAGCCTCAACATCTGGGAATACAAAGCCCTAAAGTCGCGTGAAATGCACACATTTCTTGGATGGCCTCGCCTGGCACATGAATTGTGGGATGATGCGATGGAACTTGCAGCCTGCGCCAAAAGTTGAGCTGAGGGCTTATCAAAATAGGGGGTGCGGCCTCCAGGATTTGTGTCTTGCATATATGTATACATACATAATACATCTATGGATAATTTTGAAAAGCTCCCACTTCTTTCCTTGGCTGCAGCTATTTGGGCTTCACACCTGAGCGACAACTTTTATTTATGGT